TTGCTCCAAAATCGGGCCAAAATCCCTGTACTATAGTACAGGGTCTCAGGCCAAATTTCGTCAAAAATGAAAAGTAAAAAATTCTTCATTTTTATAACTTTTCCTGATACATATACATGTTCTTATGTTGTGTAGAAATTTTGAGCCAATTCCAATCACATTTGGATTTTTAATGAATTTTTTAAAGTTGCTCCAAAATCAGGCCAAATTCCCTGTACTATAGTAGAGGGAGTTTCATCACAAACGGCTAATCCTGATAGGCTGATACAGTACATGATATACTTACGTGGTACACAGCCAGCAAACTTCTCAGGGAAATCATTAACCAGTTTATCATTGATGTCCTCCTTCAATGGGCCCAATACAATGACTGGCCTAGCGTACCCTCCTATAAAACATACTCTAATTAATGCCCACCTACACATCACTCACTCTTCTGTAGTGTGACCGGCTCATAAAAACTCAACATTTCCTCATCTACAGTGAAATGAAAGACGGTTAATTAATTATGAATTATTTGAATTATTTAGAGGATAAGTGGCTTAGAAAATTAAATTAATAAAAAATGAGAAAATTTAATAATAAAATTAATTAATATACATGTACGTACTATTAACATTATTATTATTAATATTATTATTATTATTATTATTATTATTATTATTATTATTAATTAGAGACATGATTCCTGAAAATGTGACGAATTCCCCAACCACTACAGACCCAATGCTAAACTTGTCAATATCACATATTAACAAGATGACAAGAGATAATGTGTCATGTTTACAACGAAACACACAAACAACTCTCTCTCTTAATTCAGTAGTAGTAGGATATATTGACGAGGAATTTACCAATAATAAATTCCACTATAATTTAATTAACTGCACCTTGTGGTTCTTCCGATTGTTCAACTGAAGACGCTGTAGCGTTTGTCTGAGGAGAACTGTTCCTCTTACCAAATCCTAACTTCTTCTTAAAGCTGGTCCTCAGCTTGGTAGACATTGAGCTACTCTATAAGGACAGAAGATTAATGTCAGTATATTATCATAATATCATCCTCTCTCTTTCTCCTTACTCTTCTGTCATCTGGTTCGCCAAATTTAACATTCTTTGTGCTAGTACGAGCTTTCTTCTCTAATCTGTACAGAGAAACATAATGATCAATACATGTACACGTAATATACCCAGTACTTAATGATAGTAGCCAAGACTCAAACTACATACACTATTACTAGTGTTAGTACTATTATTACTAATAATAAATATACCTTTGTTTGCTTGGTATGAGTCCTTGTACTCCATCTTCAGCTGAAGGCCCCACTAGTGCTGCCTGCCACCATTCCTCATCACTGCCATTGAGCACATGAAGTATGTCTCCCTGTTGGAAGGAGACAGCCTCACCAGGTCTGTCCATATCATTGTTCCCATCATAAGAGAATAAAGCCCTGAAGAAATAAAGATATTATCATTATTATTATTATTATTATTATTATTATTATTATTATTATTATTATTATTATTATTATTATTATCATTATTATTATTAAAATGTTATTATGACTGTATGGTAATTACTCACAAACAAGTAAAGGAAATACAAACCTGATTATTAAATAAGAACAGAGTGTGACCAATCACTCAGTCACAGTATTAATGTACAGT